GCACCTGTGTGTGCCGGGCAGTGCCAGCTGGGTGAAAAACCCCCACTGGCTCTCTCTCCCCTCCTCCCATCCTTCATGCCTCCTTCGGGGCACCCCTCTCCCGAGTGCAGCCCAGAGCATTTGTCTCGGGCGTTGCTTTCTGGGAGGTGAAATGAAGACATTATCTTTGTTATGTGTCTGCAGCCTTTGCTGCAATGGGACAGTCAGGCAAAATGACTCCAACAATGACACCTTTTAGTACCACATCTGCCTTTTTATAGACACTTGGCTCCTACTAGCTCATCAGGAGGAGTAATCATATACACGGTCTTTCTTAGGCTCCTTTTAATCAGGGCTCATTGCGTTTGGAAGTGCCGTCCGGTTATTAGCGAGCATCAAGGAGGGACGTGGGGCGTGAGCGGCCGGGCCAGCATCTCGGAGCTGTCCCTGCGCTGTCGGCCGTCTCTCGGTGCCACTCGGCAGATCCCTGGCCCGACAGGGTTACTGTGACGCTGTGCTTCCAACTTCCGGTGTCACGCCCTCGGATGGGTATTTAGCGTTTCCTCGTGGTGAAGTGGGGGTGATATAAAAAGAGGTGGTTTTGAGGAAAATGCGTCTGTGTCTAATGAACCAAGGAGTTTTCTTATTTGTGACCCTCATACAAGACCCTTGTCCCTTAAAGAGGTCCTGGGAATGAGGACGGGGACGCCGTTTTGAAACGCCGGGAGGGACATGCCAGTGTGCCCGAGGAGGGTGGGCACTGGGCTGGCTGGGCAGCAGGACTCTGATTTCAGCCGGAGAGGAAGGGGCTGCTATTCTCCTAGATCCTTAGGAGAACGTGGGCAGGATGCTGGTGGGACGAGGTGTCCCCGAAGGTCCCAAGCAGGAGAGTTTTAGGAACATGACACCGGGAGGTGGGGATGGGGCTGGAGTTGACCAGGAGATCTCCCAAGCACCACCACAAGAAGCATGGAGAGATTCTCTGGAAGCAGAATTATGAGGAGACTCCTGCCTCTGGTTTTGCTGTGTTGGAATTGGGGCTAATCTTTTGCCTCCCCCTGCTCCCCCACTAAAGAAAAAAGAAGCAAAGCCCGTGTATATCAACCGCTGGAGTTCTCCGTGGCCACGGCGATGGGCTCTCTAGATCAGTCTGAAAACGTGGAAGCGAACTCTGCTGATGGAAACGTACGTGTGCCGCCTGCAGGAAGCTCTCGTTACACGGTGCCGGTTTCCTGGGTGGTTCGGGCAGTATGTTCATCCACATCAGCCTGGTGACTGTGAACGTGTACTTGGTCAGAGGGAATTGTCCTACCTTCTGTGCAGCCTGGTGTGTTGAGTCCAGGGATGCAGCGGTGTGTTCATGAGTCACCGAATCGCATCCAAAGTTCCTAAAAAAGAGCTCGACCCCTAGAATCTCCTGTCAGGGTTTGCCCTGAAGACAGTTTCTCACGCCCTTCCCTTTAACAGGTCACCTTATTTATTAGTCCAACGAGGACAGGTGATAGTCTTGAGGGGGTGCCACTTCTGTTCCTCAGGTAACCCAGGTTCTCAGGATGCTGAGCTCGTGACTGGGGCTAGCTGGTGGGGGAGGCGGGGTCTTCTCTCACTTTTCCATGAGAGAGAGTGGGGAGAAAAGGCAGCCTGCCCCCTCAGGGCACCTACCTCCATTGCATCATGAAAAAGAACCTTTTTGCCCGGCTGATGTGCCTCAGTGGACTGAGAGATCCTGGTTTGATTCCCGGTCAGGACACCTGCCCAGGTGGTGGCTTCTATCCCCGGTAGGGGGCATGCAGGAGGCAGCTGATCAATGTTTCTCTCTCACATGGATGTTTCTATATCTCTTCCCCTTCCTCTTTCTCTTTAAAAATTAATATAAAATATTTTTTAAAAAGAACCTTTTCCCTACTAGACATTTGGAGAATGACATCCACCCATCCACCCATGTGTCCATTCATCCCTTCATCCATCCATCTATCCATTTCAGCATAGCCTCCCTGTGGGTTCCTGTGTTATTTAAATGTTATGAAAGACCTCTATGATTGCTCCTTAGATGGTCGGTTTGATTCTGCTTCTTTCTATAAGTCAGGTGTCCTCAAAACTCTCTGTGGGTGCTAATGAAGTTGCACTGACCTTCACACGGGACTGTCCCTGCCCCTCCCCTCCCCACCTGCTGAGGGAGGCCCTCAGGAGGACGCTGGAAGACACTCAGGCTGGGGGTTTACAGGGAGGACTTCGGGGCCAGCATCCCTGGGTCACTTCCCAGCGGCATCACCTTGATCGAATCCTGTCTGTGCTTTAGGACACAATCTGTAAAGTGAGGCTGACGAGGATAGTGATGGTGTGTCAGGGTGTGGCCAGAAGTCTATGGTCTCTGAGTCTGTGATCCTGGAGCCCTTGGAGCATGTCTGGCTGTGGCCGGTGTGAGCTGTGACCAGCCGACACCAGCCTGATGGACACTCTCTTCATGTACCGATTCAGGGGAATTCCAGCCACCTCCCCTGGTGATAGAACAGTCATGTGTGATGACCACCAAGAGCCCCGGAGCAGGGAAGCTCTTGGATGATACCCCCATGGGTCTCAGGCTTGTCTTAAGAATGTCACAGGTCTCAAAGAATTCTGAAAAAAAATACGCTTCAATCGCTAGTTCTTTTTCGCCAGGATCATTTTCTGGCCCGAGACACTGTCTCCTTATGACATCTACCAGCTGCATTTTGCCTCCAGCAGGTGAGACTTGACACAAAAACCCTGTCTTAGAAATCCCGGAAGAAGGGCTCCTTTTTGTCCCCCGCACACACTTCATTTGGTTTTCTAAAAAGTGATCTTTTACGCAATGAAGCATTCATGGCTTTGAAAGGTGTCAATGTTTAAGGCATTCAAAGACAGTGGGGCTGAGCGCGTGCCTGGTTTGCACTTGTAAGCCATTTAATTTGACTTTATTCAACTCCAGAACACTATCCTTCCATTTCGTGGAGTTTGATTTGTTTAGATGGGCCGGCTACGCATAGTGCGGGGGAAGGGCGGAGGGTCTGAGCGCTCCACGGGCCTGTCCTCCAGGTGACGAGATCCCCGTCCAGTGCTGCAAACTTAAGGCCTCTGTGTTTGAAAGGGGAGCCATTGACATAAGCACAGGCAAGAAGAAAGGGGTGCTTTTTACCTGCAAATCTACTATCTTTAAGAAATGTGTGACTTGGCTTAAATGAAGATGGAGTGTATTAGAGGTGTAGACAATGATGCCACGACACGGGTCCGTGGTGGAGTGCGTGGCAGAGCAAATGACGTGTGGCTGAGACCGCAAACTTCTTCCTCCGTGGGCACGTAGGAGAGACCTGGCATTGTGAAAATGTAAGGTGTTCCCACTTAACTATGAACAAGAAACACATTTATGGCAGCTTTCCGACCAGTCACCTTTCCTTCCATTCCCTGCCTCTGAGAGGTGGTTTTCCCTCTCAGGACGGGACAGAGCCCCCGCCACCTGGGTGGGAATGCGCACCGCACACCGGCTGGATGGGGTGTGCGTGTGGGTGGGCTTGGTGATAAACGGGAAACTTGACTCTGCCTCTCTGGGGTTATTGTCTGCAGAGGCAACTCGCACACATAGGGTGGTTAACTGTTCACATGGGTCTTGATCACTCACCCTATTCGGTGACACTAATCAGGACCTGAAAGCAACATTTTCCCTATCAAGGTTGACTAAGGACCTGGGAATTTCTCATGACAACATAAAACACTCTTGGGAACGGATTAACTGATTTCTTTGATATTATTTTTAGGCTGAAGTCTTGGACCAAAATACACATTTTTAAAAAAATATGTTTTTTATTGATATTTTAGAGAGAGAGGGAGGGAGAGAAAGATAGAAACATCCATGTGAAAGAGAAACATCCATCAGTTGCCTCCTGCACGCCCCCTACTGGGGATTAAGCCTGCGACCCTGGCATGTGCCCTGACCAGGAATCAAACTGGGAGCTCTCAGTCCACGGGACGACACTCAGTCCACTGAGCCAAGCCAGTTGGGCCAAAATGCACATTTTGAGGGCACCTTTATCTCTCAGTGGGGGTCACCTAACGGGGTTTTCTCCCCGTCCGGTGCTCTGCCTCTCTTTCCAAGGTCCCCTGCAGATGGCTATGAACAGTGACACTTCCTGCACAGCACTGACCGCTGGGCAGGGAAGTCCAGTCTCCAGTGTGACTGTGACCTTGGACGAATCCGTCTCTCTACCTGGCTGCTTCTTCTGTTGTTGTTGTTTGTTTGTTTCACCTGAGAGTTAGAGACTTTATAGCTCATCAATCCTTTTCAACACATAAAGCATACTTTCTAATAATTAACCATACAATTTGATCAACAAAATTCTTCTCTCTCCATGGCCTAGGAAATTCTGAACATCGTGTTATTTAAAAACAGTAGCTAACAAGCTTTGAAGGAACATGCACGTGTAATGCATTTCACACAGCTCCCCAGACCTCACGCTCGGACCACCGTGCTAAAAAATGCAAGTCTAACCATGAAATATGCATACTTCTGGTCAGCCCGGTCAGACACAGACGCACCGGAGAGGCAGACACGACGGCAGAGAGATAGCTCAACAACAGGAGAAACCGTGACTACCCACACAATGTATTTTCTAGTGGACTAAAACGCATGTAAATGAGACACCGGACACTGGCTGGAATGAGAAGCCAGCAGGGTGGCGGCTACTGCTGCCGCAGGTGAAGCTCTGGTCTGCTGGCAGGTGGCACACAGACCCTTGGCTGTTTCCGCATCTTTTCAGCGAGGTTCTGCTCCTTTAACAACAGTCTCTCATCAGCTGTCCCTTGCTGTGGACGAGGGGGCGGGTTGCCCACTTCAGTAGATCCTTTCTTGGGTGGATCCTTCCCTGGTCTCAGAGCACCTTGTTTTACCCACCTGAGCTGAAGTAAGGTAGAGCTTAATAGAACGAAAGAGATATTTGAAACAAGAAGAGAGACAAAATAATTCTGACCATATTTGATGACAAATTCTTTCCTTTTTTGTGTGTCTTTAGAGACAAGGTGCTGGGGCCCCCAACGGGAAAGACAAGACATCTGGAGAAAACGGTAAGATGACATGAGTAGTCCAACTACTTCCAGTGTCCCCCCTGCAGCCGTGGGCACGCGGCAGCCGTGGTCATGCCTTCCACAGGAACAGCTACTGTGTGTCTGTGCTCCAGCTCAGACTGGGTTTAGCCGTTCCCAGCAGCACCACGGTCTGCTTTCACGAAGCAAACGGAGCCGGCTAAGTGCAGTGGTAAGAACAGCTTCCTCCCCAAAGGAGGACTCCCATTTGGGGCGGCATGATAATTACGGCGCAAATATAGCTCTCTGCTTTCCTCATTAGTGTTGGTGAGAACCGTCCCGGTGGCTGCGAGGATAAAATAACATCAAACGAGATAAGTGCTTTGAAAGCTGTGTAGTGCTTGACTCCTTACAGGAGCCCCGACAACCTGCCTTAGCGCCCCCTGTGCGCGGAGCCCAGGGCTGGCCCGGGAGGGGCCGGGTCAGGGGGTCCCAGTGGCCCTTCACTGGGAACTGAAAGGAATGTAGGGGACCGAGCATGCGCCCTGGGACTCCAGTTCCCACCTGGCCGGAGGCAGTAGGGATGATCGTGTTCTATGGACGGGGAGACAGAGGCTCAGCGTCATCAGCGCTGGGAACAGCATGGCCTTGGGAGACGGAGCGGGGCGCAAGCCCAGCTCCCCAGGGTGAGCGGTTGTAATGCAGGGTGACTCGTAGTGACGAAAAATCCCCAGTAAGCGCTGAGGACTCCAGTTAGGGTTCAGGTGAGGTTACCGTCTGGGGACTCTTGCTTTGTGTCGGTTATAAAATGCACTCGCCTTTTGTGGAAAACAGGTCCTGCTTCCCACTGGATGAGACTTTGCTGGCACCCACTCACCCAATTGTGGGAGGTGCCAGTGTCAGAGGCCAGCTGTAAACATGCCCTGTGGCCTCACAACCACTTTGGGGCCCCTGCCGAGAGTCTGCGCGGGGGCCTGAGCAAAACTCAAGTGCTAGAACGTTCCTCTGTGCTGTACTCACCCAGCTGCTTCGGGCCATCCTCCCAGGTGGGGTCAGGGTGATGGTCCCTGGGGTGAAAGGTCATAACAACAATAAGTAGGGGGTTTGGGGCCCAAGAATGTCCTGATCCGAGCTGGCAGGGAGGGCAGGGAGGGCACCGAGTTCTCTCGTCAGCCTTCTGTGATTCCCAGGGCTCTTGCTGTCTGTCCCGTCTCTCTGCGCTGGGGAAGGATGGACTGCCTGTCATTCAGGAGTTTCCTGGTTCCCCAGTTCACAGGTTCATACCCACCTCGTCACCGGAGCTCATTTCACAGGATGGGACATTGAAACTGTGGTCGGGAGGCTCCTCAGAGACCCCTCAATGGTCTCCGTTCTCAAACCCTCTGCTCTCACAACTTCTTTCCATTCTTAAAAATTCTCAAGGACCCCAAAGAATTTTCATGCACGTTGTTTATATATCCATGGATGGTTCCCATATTCAAAATTAAAACGGAGACATTTTTAAAAGGTTTACTCATTCATTTATTAAAAATATAAAAAATATGTGATATGCCATGTTAACATAAGTAACATTTAAAAATGAAAGGCAGTTATATTTTCCAAAACAGAAAAAAAATATTAATGAAAGAGTAGCAACGGTTGATACTTTGGCTGATCTCTTTAAGGTCCCTCTGCATTCAGTCTGTCGTAATGTCACAAGTCATGGAGACTCTGGAAAATTCCACTATGCACTCATGAGAGAATGAGATTTACAAAAGCAAAATAAAAAAAGTACCTTAGTAGTATATAAAACATAGTTTTGATTCTGAGCACTCCCTCAAAGTGGGGAGGCACCCCCAGGGTACCTGGTCCACACTTTGAGAACTGATGTTCTGGCATAACTCCTGGGTCATACCCGGGGGCCTGGAGTCGAAGGCACAGGAGTTCCCAAGACAGGACTGGGTCCCCGTGTCCCATGCCTCCGTCACTCGGCATCACACGGGTCCTTCAACGCACGTTTACAGGCTCAGTGCTTTGCACCGACGGGAACTATCAGCAGTTGCGGAAGACACTACTTTCTGCCTTCCCAAGGCACGAAATTTCTTTCAGCCAAAAATCGATCCATTCTAGTGAAAACTGAGTGTGTCTTTTCTAGAGGTATAAAAATTAACTGAAAGGAAAATTTTAAGATGGTATGGTTGAAGCTCTTTATGTAATTCTAGATATCAGAGGCTATTCACTTCTGAGTAGAAAAAGGGAGATTTAAAATGAGAGATTATTTGATGGTTATAGAATAATCGTGCTATATAAATTAAAATTGGTATTAATAGGTACCTTAATTTCAGACAAAACTGCTCATGTATGATATGTGTATATGATATTTGTTATTAAGTCTGTGCTTTTGTTTCTAAAAATGAACAAAGACAGAAGCCAATAACAACCCAACAAAGATTGGGGTCAAGACTTCTAGAAGTGCGCTAAAAGACGTTTTTCTAAAACTCTAAATTGTTTAATTTTTTATTCTTAAATTCATAATAGGAAAAGATCATCTTGGAATTTCTGTGTTAACCTAATAGTACATTCCCTTGAAAATCAAATTATTTTACTCTGTTATCACAGGTATCGAGAGAGATCTTCTATCTTAATGTATATTTCCTACTAATACAAATGAAGCTGCCTACCTGTGTTGAAGTAGCAGGGACCCAAGAGAATAGAACTAAGAAGCACTGCGCATTAAAATGTTATGAGATTTGGATAGCAGTTAGTTAATCGTAAGTAGTCAATTAGTCCCAGATTTCATTAGTCATCTACAAGGCAAAGTGTTCTTATTTCACATATTATAAATTTAGTTTAGGTCTCCATTTAACACTTAAAGCATGATGACTAGGAAGTGAATTATGGGCACCTTGAAATTGTAATTTGGATCACAGAAGACACAAGTCAGATACATTAAAACTCCAGAGGGATCTCTTGGGCTCTGCTGGAATTTTGTTATATTAAATATTATCTCAAGAGGGCCATCGGCTGGGAATCTAGAGTCTTGTTTTTGTTGCCATGGTATTTATTGATGTGAAATATGACATTTATCCACTCCATATCCAGAATGCCCGTAAATAGGACATTTATCCACTCTGTACCCAGAATGCCTTTCACTTCAGGGCAAGAACCTCTGAATACATAACTGAGCAAATTCAGATGTTCTTCATCTCAGCTGCAGTTTGGAGATAGGTTTTTCAGAAATGTTAGGGTTATTATTTTTTCATTAAAAACCAAATTCATTAGCATCTTGATGGTTCAGAGATTTTCATTCCCATATGAACACAGCACCTCCATTATCTGATTAGTTTAGGCGAAGAATTTAATTTTTTTCTTTACATAATGCCCTACTTAGTAAAACAATAGTTCATAACTCCGGTTACAACTCATCTGCAGTGTGCAAACCCAACGAGTTTCTAGATACAGACACAACCTTCTGGCTCCAGGTTATGTACCTGCCAGATCAGTTTGGAGACAATCAAAAGATTTTTTTTGCAAGACAGTAATTTTGCTGGATATCTTGATCTGTATCTCGAAACTCATCATCCAGAGACACTCCAAGAGTTAAATTTCTTATTGACATGGAAAAGGAGAAAAACACTGGAGGCCAAGTGGCTGCTGGGAGGCATCCAGCCCCAAGGAAAGATTTATGAATAATAAACCTCTGACAGAGCTTCCTCTCAGGGCCCGGAGGCTTACCCGAGCTAAATTGAATTTCTAAAACGGGAATGGATTTCTCCTGACTTAGTGAGCTGTGATACATTTGTTTCCAAAAGGCTTTGTCTTTGGAGGTGAATGGCATCTATGCACCTGATTTTAGTAAAAGCATCTCTTCCAACTCCCCTCATTGGTAAAAGCCCAGAAGGCAGGTATTATTCTGAGCTACCTGCGGAGTTGCTGATCAAACACTCAGGCATTGTATTGAATAAGTACACCCATTGTTTTTGGGAAACAGATTGTGGCTTGAGAAATTTCTAGTAGGTGTGGGGAGATGCTAAGAACGCAGAGATTTAGTTTGCTTTGATAGGATTGTTTGATTGTTAACGGTGAATAATCTGAAATGTTGTTGTACTGGGTATCCTCCCCTCCTTGTTTTGAATAAAACCAAAACCATAGAAGTTTACCTCACCTTTGATTTGAGGACACACACACACACACAGTAAATTAATTTTCTTCTGTCAAGTAGATGGAGAGAGAGATTGATTGAGAAGGATCTGATTCGTAGACAGATGGATACCTTATTACTAACCTGAGCATGGTTTTTCGAATAAGAAATAAAATTAAATATGTATTCCCAAAGAACTTTGCACCCTCCCCTTTGGCTCCAGATCAGCCAGTAGATACTGAGATGTCCCCTTTGATATTCTTGGTGCCTGACGATCTGTCAATACCGGCAGACTGGCGAGGGCCGATGTCGCCTGGGATCCATTTGCGCTATCACTGCTTCTGGGTTTGGGGAAGAGCGTGGGTGAGGTTTCATGTGGGAGAATGAGAGATCAGCTTGGAGCAAGAAGGACTCGATGGTGGGGCCAGGACCAGAAGGTGACGAGAGCTCACGACAGCACGCGCCCGGGAGAGAGTCCCTTCTGGCAGGAGGCTCGCTCAGCTCTTGGTCCTGAGCATGGGAAGATTGGGATGGACGGCAAGGAGGAAAAATGCAATTTCTAAAAAGGCTCCAGAGGGCTCGTGCCACATGTCTGTCTAAAGCGGAGACTTGGTGCTGCTTCGAACAGGAACCGTGAGGGAGAGGAGCGGCCCACAGCCTGCAATACAGACTGGCGGCTTTTCTGCAGGCTGTGCGTGCGGGTGTCCGGGAGCCAGGGGTTGTGACGTTCTGCTCCACACGGAGATCAACGCTGTGCAGGTTGCAGCAGGAGTTTAGGTGGGAACTTGCTGTCCTAAGCCAAGCCTCCTGGAAAGAGGTAAAGACAACTTAGAGCGTTGAGCCCTGGCCAGTTTGGCTCCGTGGTTAGAGCGTCGGCCTGCAGACCACAGAGACCCGGGTTCGGTTCCCGCTAAGGGCACGT